GGTCCGGGCTGGGGATTCGAACCCGACACCTTAGGTGTACGTGGCTGGCGCCTTAGCCGGTTGAGCTATAGGCGCCGAGCCAGCAAAGCATTCTTATTACTAATGTTTTCTAAAGTTAGTTCAACCTTCAAAGAGACACAAAGTTTGAAACCTCGAGACAGCTGCAAAAGGGAGTATGTCTAGAGACTTGAGATTACCAAGAGGGGAGTAAAGCTTTGGAGTTTTGCTATGCACTCATTGTATTGCAGAAAGCAGGTTTATGGCTCCTGTTTCTACTCCACCTGGAGGCCATGCTGTTTTCCCATAAGCTCATTCATGCCTGTCAACCTCTAGGCTGTGTCCTTGCAGGAAGGCTTTTAACCCTTTCCTTGCAGGCTTAACAGCCACATAGCCAGAGTTACTGAAGGTGGGTTTTCAGGCCCAAACTTTCAGGCCCTGTTCTATGATGACCAAGGTTACCAGGTCTTCAACAGAGTTACATTCCACACAAAAGTCTGTCTGCCTGCTTCTGGAGTTAGAAGTGAGCACACAGTATGTGGGGTTTTATCCCACACTCTCTCGCTAAAAACAAAACAAACAAAAAAATAGTAAATTACTCAGTCTAAGGTATCTCATTATAATACCCCTGATAAGCTAAGACAGAAATATATAAAACATTACCTCAAAAAACAGATACACAGTCTTCTGAACTGTTTTGTAATATGAACCATGTGTTAGGTCACAAAACAAGTCTTGATAAATTTAAAAATACCGAAATCATACAAAGTATCTGATAAATATAACAGCAGGAAAACTGGAAAATCCACAAATATATAGAAATAAAGCAACCAGTGAGTCAAAAGTAAAATTAAACGAGAAACTGGACGATACCTACAGATGAACGAAAACATAACATGCCAAAACATACCATAATGTACAGTGAAAGCAATGTGAAAAGGGAAATTTATAGCAGTAAACACTTTCCTTAAGAAAGGAGAAAAATGGGGTGGCACCTGTGGCTCAAAGGAGTAGGACTCCGGCCCCATATGCCAGAGGTGGCAGGTTCAAACCTAGCCCTGGCCAAAAACTGGAAACAAACAAACAAACAAACAAAAAAGAAAAAAAAGAAAGGAGAAAAATGGGTGGCGCCTGTGGCTCAGTGTGTAGGGTGCTGGCCCCATATACCAAGAGTGGCAGGTTTAAACCCGGCCCCAGCCAATCTGTAACAAAAAATAGCCAGATGTTGTAGTGGGTGCCTGTGGTCCCAGCAGCTCGAGAGGCTGAGACAAGAGAATCACCTAAGCCTGGAGGTTACTGTGAGCTGTGACACAGTGGCACTATACCCAGGACAACTGCTTGAGACTCTGTAAAACAAAAAAAGAGACAATTGCTTAAGCCCAAGAGGTTGAGGTTGCTGTGAGCAGTGATACCTCAGCACTGTACCCAGTGCGACATAACGAGACATTGTCTCAAAAAAGACGAAGTTGGATCCTACCTTATACCATATGCAAAAACTAATTCAAAATGGACCAATGACCTAAATATAAGAGCTAAAACCTACAAAATTCTTAGAAGAAAACATGGGGAAACATCTTCACAATTGGCTTGGCTGTGGTTTCTTACAGTGGCACCAATAGCCCTGAGCAACAAAAGAAAAAACTAGTTAGTCCAAATAAGAAACTTTTTCTTTTCTTTTCTTTTTTTTAAGAGACAGAGTCTCACTTTGTTGCCCCTCGGTCAAGTGTCACAGCTCACAGCAACCTCTAGCTCTTGGGCTTAGGTGATTCTCTTGTCTCAGCCTCCTGAGTAGCTGAGACTACAGGTGCCTGCTGTACTGCCTGGCTATTTTTTGTTGGAGTTTAGCTGGGACTGGGCTTGAACCTACCACCCTTGGAATATGGGGCCAGCACCCTACTCACTGAGCCTCAGGCACCACCCACAAAATAAGAAACTTGTTTCCTTTGGACATCAAATGATGTTAAGAACGTGAAAAGACGTCATACAGAATGGGGAAAAAATCTTTGCAAATCATGTCTGTTAAGGCTCTAGTATCCAGAATATATCAAAAAAAATTCTTACATCTCAACAATAAAAGACAACCCAATTTCAAGAAATGGGCAAAGGACTTGAACAACCTTTTCTCCAAAGAAAATACAGTAACTCACGCCTATAATCGCAGCCCTATGGGAGGCTGAGGAATTGCTTGAGCTCAGGAGTTAGAGACTTGCCTGAGCAAGAGTGAGACCCAGATTCCTAAAAAAAATGAAAAAACCCAGCCAGGCTCCACAGCAAGCGTCTGTAATCCCACTGGCTTCTGAGGCTGAGGCAGTGGGATGCCCACAACCCAAGTCTGAGGTTGCAGTGAGTTATGATGCCATTGCACTCTGCTCAGGGAAGAGAGTGGGACTCTGTCTCAACAACAAGAAAAAGGAAAGAAATAAAAATAAAGGGCCATGCCTTTGGCTCAGTGGGTAGGGCACTGGCTCCATATAGCGAGGGTGGCGGGTTCAAACCCGGCCCCGGCCAAACTGCAACAAAAAAATAGCCAGGTGTTGTGGCGGGCGCCTGTGGTCCCAGCTACTTGGGAGGCGGAGGCAGAAGACTCGCTTGAGCCCAGGAGTTAGAGGTTGCTGTGAGCTGTGATACCATGGCAGTCTACCCAGGGGGACAGCTTGAGGCTCTGTCTCAAAATAACAAAACAAAACAAAACAAAATAGGCAAAATGTGTAATAATAGAATGTGAAGAAAGCCTGAGCTGTTTTCTTGGCATAGGTGGGAAGGGTGAGGGGCACCTGGGCTTGGGGCATGTTCTAAGTAGAGCTGAGAGGACTTGGCAGTGGCCTGCTGTGGATGATGTTGGTAGCACCAGGGTTTTTTCTAAGATGAGCCCTTCTAGGGAGGGTAGGCTGAGAACCTGTCAAGAGTTCTCCCTTGAGGTGGTGCCTGTGCCTCAAAAGGGTAGGGTGCTGGTCCCATATGCCAGAGTTGGCGGGTTCAAACCCAGCCACAGCCAAAAAACAAACAAACAGACAAACAAAACAACCAACAAACTCCCTCATCCACAGCCCCCATGTAGCTTTGTCCCCTCCAGCCACTCCCTGTCCCCTGGTCTCCTCCATAGAGGGCCTGGTGTCTCTGCAGATGTGCTCTCTGTCCCTGCTGCTGCTGCTGCTTCTCTTTCCAGTGACTTTATATTTATTGTTTCAGATCATGACACCAGAACTGAGGACATGGAGTTCCTTCAGAAGGAAGGTGTCCCTGCAGATTTTGAATCACAGACTGAAATACCAGAAAACTATGCTGATGATGTTTCCCAGGCACCTGAGCTTGGAGAGCTCTGTGATGATGGCTCAGTCAGAGTTTGGGGAGTCCCTGAAGGTGAGAGAGGGGTTCCCCCCATCTTCTGTGTGAGGGGCTCCACACCGGTGACAGTTCTCAGGAGCCCCTTAGGGGAGAAAGAACTGGAGTGTAATGGTTTTGACAGAAGCCCTAGTCTGAGCCCAAACCTGATGGCATGTCAAGGGATTTCCATGGAAGAGTTGCCACATCCCTATGACACATGTGGACAGAGCTTCCAGCGCAGCTTGGACTTAACTGACCATGAGGATTTCCCTACAACTGAAAGCCCGCTCATATGTACTAAGTGTGGGAAAACCTTCCAAGGAAACCCTGACCTTATTCAGCATCAGATAGTTCACACTGGAGAGATGTCCTTTATGTGTAATGATTGTGAGAAATCCTTCAGCCAGAACTCAGTCCTGGAAAACTGGCATCCACCTCCTATGAGTGAAAAAGCTTGCTGGCACAGAAAATGCAGGAAATCTTTCCATGGGTGCTCAGATCTTGCTGGACGCCAGATTCCCCACAGTGGAGAAAGGCCTCACGTGTGTAGTGAATGTGGAAAAGCCTTCAGCCAGAACTCAGGCCTTAAGAAGCACCAGAAGTCCCACATGAGTGAGAAGCCCTATGAATGCAACGAGTGTGGGAAGGCTTTTAGGCGGAGCTCAAACCTCATCCAACATCAAAGAATACATTCTGGGGAGAAACCATACGTATGCAGTGAGTGTGGGAAAACCTTTAGGCGGAGCTCAAACCTCATCAAACACTACAGGACTCATACAGGTGAGAAGCCTTTTGAGTGTGGTGAATGTGGGAAAGCCTTCAGCCAGAGTGCACACCTGAGGAAGCACCAGAGGGTTCACACCGGAGAGAAGCCTTATGAGTGTGATGCCTGTGGCAAGCCATTCAGTAGAGTTTCCAACCTCATTAAGCATCACAGGGTTCACACCGGAGAGAAACCCTACAAGTGCAGTGACTGTGGGAAAGCATTTAGTCAGAGCTCCAGCCTTATTCAACATCGGAGAATTCATACTGGAGAGAAGCCTCATGTGTGTAATGTGTGTGGAAAAGCCTTTAGTTACAGCTCAGTGCTCAGAAAGCACCAGATAATCCACACAGGAGAGAAGCCATATGGATGCAGTATCTGTGGAAAGGCCTTCAGCCACAGCTCAGCCCTCATTCAGCACCAGGGTGTGCACACAGGGGACAAGCCCTATGAGTGCCGTGAGTGTGGGAAGACCTTTGGTCGCAGCTCCAACCTCATCCTTCACCAACGAGTCCACACTGGAGAGAAACCCTATGAATGTAGTGAATGTGGAAAAACCTTCAGCCAGAGCTCAACCCTCATTCAGCACCAGAGGATTCATAATGGGTTGAAGCCCCATGAATGTAACCACTGTGGTAAAGCTTTCAACCGAAGCTCCAATCTCATTCACCACCAGAAAGTTCATACTGGGGAGAAGCCCTACACATGTGTTGAGTGTGGTAAGGGCTTCAGCCAGAGTTCACACCTTATTCAGCATCAAATAATCCATACTGGTGAGCGGCCCTACAAGTGCAGTGAGTGTGGGAAAGCCTTCAGTCAGCGGTCCGTCCTGATCCAGCACCAGAGGATCCACACTGGGGTGAAGCCCTTTGACTGCGCTGCTTGTGGGAAAGCCTTTAGCCAGCGGTCAAAATTAATTAAACACCAGTTGATCCACACCAGAGAGTAGCCTGCTGGGCTGGTGAGAGTGAGATGAAGCATGGTTTCTTCTCCAACTCCTTCCTGTCCAGTGTCTCTCACCTCCCAGACCTGAGGCCCAGGCTCCCTCCCTGTACCTCTGCCCTAATCTAGTGGCTGCAGAGTCTGAGGCTCTCCTTTGAAACATCTTTTACAGGCTCCCTTCCCATGGCTGTTGCTTCTGCCTCATGTGACCCCTCTGGTTTTGCTTTGTTTATGCAGTTTATGAGCAGATCCCACATTTATTTTTTTTATTTTTTTTATTTTTTTGAGACAGAGCCTCAAGCTGTCCCCCTGGGCAGAGTGCCGTGGCATTACAGCTCACAGCAACCTCCAACTCCTGGGCTCAAGCGAGTGTCCTGCCTCCGCCTCCCAAGTAGCTGGGACCACAGGCGCCCGCCACAACGCCCGGCTATTTTTTGGTTGCAGCCATCATTGTTGTTTGGCGGGTCCGGGCTGGGGATTCGAACCCACCACCTTAGGTGTATGTGGCTGGCGCCTTAGCCGGTTGAGCTATAGGCGCCGAGCCAGATCCCACATTTCTTAGGAGAGACAGGTTTATGGAACCTCCATATTCATGAATACCCTTTATTATTGTAACCAAAAATTATCAGAAGAGTAAAGTGACATTTGATTTGAGTTAACCAGTAGTTCTTTTGTTTGTTAATCAGTCATAGGGGTGAGTTCATTGTTGGTGGCTCTCACTGATATGTAAAATCAGGTTGAGTTTTTCATACCTGATGGCTCCATCATCCTCTCAAGTTAGACACACATTACTGCCAGTTTCCCACCTGTTCTTGTCCCTCCCATTCCACAACTTGGGCCCAACACTCCCCCCTACTGCCCTGTGTCCTCCTAGGCATGTGTACAACCTGACCTGAACCTTCTCCTCCTCTCTGTAGAGACTCTAGCCCCTGGTCTGTCTGGGGCTACTGCGTGGTTAGGTGGGGCTGCTGTGTGAGGCTGTGCGCTGGCTCCAGCCTCTGCCGCTGAGGAAGGTCCCTCCACACCTCATGTTTGCCCACAAGCTTCCAGGCTCAGTTTCTTCCCAAATGCATCCATCATCAGACATTTATGGAGCACCTAATAGGTGCCCTTCCCTGGTTGCCCAGCTGACTCACTCCTCATGCTTAGTTTCCCACAGCTGTGCCCTTGTCCCTGGAAGGGAGAACTCAGCCCAGATGCTATGTGTCTGTCACTGGGGAGGCCTCTGACACCAGCCAAGAAGTCACAGACAGCTAAACCTGACCCACTACCTGTGTTAGTAAATAAAGTGGTGTTAGAACAAGGCCATGCCAGCTTATTTACAGAAGCCTGGCAGCTTTTGCACAGCAGAATTGAGTAGGTGGGATAGAAATCATGCTGCCTATGGAGTCAGAGTATTTACTTCCTGGTCCAATATAGAGAAGGTTATCTGTCTTTGGACACTACCTGGTGACCTTGGGTGGCTGGCAGGGGCTTGGATTTACCCAGGGGTTATGAGTTCTGGCAGGAGCTGAGGTTTTGTGACCAGTGATGTCTGTGCTACATACTGAGCACCTGTGTGCAGGAGTGGCTCCTGGGTAGCTGCATAGTGCAGAGCACCCTCACCCCTCCCCAACATGCAGCAGATCCCAAGAGACACAGGAATTAAAGGAGCTCATGTTTGTAAATTACTTTAAATAGTGCCTAGTCCTTGCTAACCTCTGTTAGATGTTATCATTAACAGAAAATAAATACTTCACAGAATCTCTAGGAGACTGAAGAAATAGGCTGAGGCCAAGGTTCCAGAAAAGCTCCCAGAACCATTCTGTGGAACTGCCCTGCCACATGGGAATGCCACTGCTCTGCTGTGACCCAGGCCAGTGAGCAGTTGTCAGCTTCCTTGTTTAACTTTGCCTTGACTAAGGGTCTTATGCAGATATATTTCAACACTAAAACCAACTTTTTCTTTCTTTTTTTTTTTTTTTGAGAGAGTCTTAACTGTGTCACCCTGAGTAGGGTGCTGTGGCGTCACAGCTCACAGCAACCTCAAACTCTTGGGTTTAAGTGATCCTCTTGACTCAGTCCCCCAAGTAGTTGGGACTACAGACATCCGCCACAACACCCAGCTATTTTTTTTTTTATGTTGCAGTTGTCATTGTTTAGTTGGCCCGGGCTAGGTTTGAATCTGCCAGCTTTGTTGTATGTGGCTGTGGTGGTGCTGTAACCACTGTGCTACAGACGCCAAGCTATCGCTCTTATTTTGTTTATTTATTTATTTTTTGAGACAGTCTCAAGCTGTCACCCTGGGTAGAGTGCTCTGGCATCTTAGCTCACAGCAACCTCCAACTCTTGGGCTCAAGCGATCCTTATCTTATCTCTTATCTCAGTTTTTCTATTTTTAATAGAGACTGGGTCTTGCTCTTGCTCAGGCTGGTCCCAAATTCATGAGCTCAAGCAATCTAGCAGCCTCGGCCTCCCAGAGTACTAGGATTACAGGGGTGAATCCCCATGCCCAACCATAATCACTGTTTAAAAAACAACCTATTGATGGTTCAATTCATCTACTGGTTTTTCCACTTTGATTTGATGATTATATGTAGCTAAAATACTGTGTACAACAGATAAATTTGAGTCTTGGTTATGTCTCGGTTTTCTTTTCTCATAGTGGCTGTTATACGTTGTGACAATGAGGTTTGTTTCTGAGTGTTGCTTGTTAGTGGTTTTTCCCTTTGTTAATTCCCTTTTTATGGGAAAATAGCCTTAAAAAAATATTTTTCCGGCTTGGTGCCTGTAGCACAGTGGTTACAGCACCAGCCACAGACACCAAGGCTGGTGGGTTTGAGCCCAGCCCAGGCCAGCTAAACAGCTGTGACAAAAAATATCTAGGCGTTGTGGCAGGTGCCTGTAGTTCCAGCTATTTGGGAGGCTTGAGGCAAAAGAATCACTTGAGCCCAAGAGTTTGAGACTGTTGTGAGCTGTGATGTCACAGCACTACCAAGGGCAACATAATGAGACTCTCAAAAAATAATTTTTGTAAAAGAATATATATTCTTCAGGCTGGGTGCCCATAGCTCAGTAATGAGGGCACCAGCCACATGCTCCAGAGCTGGTAGATTTGAATTTGGCAGGGCCTGCTAAACAAACAAAAAAATAGCTGGGTGTTGTGGCAGACATCTATAGTTCCAGCTACTAGGGAGGCTGAGGCAAGAGGATCACTTGATCCCAGGAGTTGGAGGTTGCTGTGAGCTGTGACACCACGGCACTCTACCCAGGGTGACACAGTGAGACTGTCTCAATTAAAAAAAAAAAAATAGGGTGGTGCCTGTGGCTCTGGGTAGGGCACCAGCCCCATGATACCAAGGGTGGTGGGTACAAACCCAGCCCCAGGCAAACTGCAACAAAAAGATAGGTGGGTGTTGGGGCAAGCGCCTGTAGTCCCAGCTACTCGGAGGCTGTGACAAGAGAATCGCCTACACCCAGGAGTTGGAGATTGCTGTGAGCTGTGTGATACCACAGCCCTCTACCAATGTATTCTTCAGGGAGACATTAAGGAAAGAGAAATGTGGTGTGGTGCCTGTGGCTCAGAGCAGTAGGGCGCTGGCCCCATATGCCCGAGGCAGCGAGTTCAAGCCCAGCCCTGGCCAAAAACGGAAAAAAAAAAAAGAAAAGAGAAACAAGACTAGTGAGTCTTATCTTGTTTGTCCACAGGAAGATTCAGTATTACAAAGATGAAAAATTTTCTGAATTGATCTATGAATTCAATTCACCCCCTATTCAAAATGTGAATAGGAAAAATTAGGGAACTAGTCTAGATTATCTCAAATTTCATCCAAAAGACCATACACGTAAACAGGTGTCTTACGTTTGGTAGTAAATAGAGACATCCACACAACCAGCATGAATTGGAATTAAAAGCAAATTTCTTATTTATTTAAACTTTTTTGTTTTGTTTTGTTTTTAGAGACAGAGTCTTATTTTGTTGCCCTCGGTAGAGTGCTGTGGCATCACAGCTCACAGCAACCTCCAGCTCTTGGGCTTTAGGTGATTATCTTGCCTCAGCCTCCGGAGTAGCTGGGACTACAGGTGCCCGTCACAATGCCTGGCTATTTTTTTGTTGCAGTTTGGCTGGGGCCCGGTTTGAACCTGCCACCTCAGTATATGGGGCTGGCGCCCTACTCACTGAGCCACAGGTGCTGCCATTTCTTTTCTCAGATAACAGCAAGAACAAGGCCACCCCAGAGTTTGCTCCCCAGTTTACTTGTCACCACAGGTCTAGGGACAGGGCCAGTTTGTGAAAGATGCTGTGTCCTCAATTGGTGTCCATTAGGAGAAAGCTGGTAGGACTTCCTCCTTGGGTTGGCAGGCCATGCGTCTTGCTCACAGGCCAGTGTCCACGGTGATGTCCAGGGTCTCCTTTTCCAGTATGTTATAGTTTGAGAGCCCTATGTAAGTACAAGTGGACAAGTTGAGGTCTCAGTTAACTAGACCTGGACCTTAAAGACAGTTTTGAGATGGAGATGTAATTTGTAAAAATGTGATTTGTAGGTTTGGCGCCTGTGGCTGAAGTGGCTAAGGCACCAGCCACATACACCTAAGGTGGTGGGTTTGAATCCAGCCCAGGCCTACCAAACAACAATGAAGGCTGCAACCTAAAAAAATAGCCAGGTGTTGTGGTGGTTGCTTATGGTCCCAGCTACTTGGGAGGCTGAGGCAGGAGACTCGCTTGAGCCCAGGAGTTGGAGGTTGCTGTGAGCTGTGATGTCACAGCACTCTACCGAGGGGGACAGCTTGAGGCTCTGTCTCAAAAAAAAAAAAAAAGTGATTTGTAAAAGATGTGTTTGTAAAAATGTGATATGCAGTCTGGAAAAGTAAATTTCTGTGTACCACAACCAGTTTCTTCCTTTTGATTTTTGTGGATGTTCTTGGAAAGGTTTCTCACAGAACAAATACTGAGTCCACAAGTTGGACCAGGAGTGGTGCCTGCTGGTAGCCTGGGCCTCTGCTCAGTGGGGCTGGGGCTCAGAAGCTGGTGAGAAGAGCCTTTTGTCTTTTATCTTGATATAGTAATTCTTTTTCTCAAAAGACTTTTAATTATTTAGCAGAGTATTTACTTCATTACATAAGTACTTAATTACTGGGCATCCACAGCAGGTCACAGAAACTGGAGACAAGACAGGAGAAAAGAAAAAGGGAGTGTGGGAGAGGAAGCAGTCTGCTGGGGCCGCACCTGCCACTCATCCCCTGGGAACGCCCTTTCTTCACAGCAGTGGTAGGGTGTCTCATAATGGTGTTAAGGGGCTCAACACTGCCAACCCCCCCTTACCTGCTCTGATTGCTGCCAGTCCCCAGTTGCCTTGTGTGACCTGGGTTGACTCCTGGCTCTTGCAGTGACCACCAGCGTCATTGCCTAGCCCCTGCCAGGGCTAGGCCACCAGACAGCACAGCTCCCAAGTGGAGTCCATGCCACACAGAAGCCCTCCTCTCAAATGTAGATTCCCCAATTTAAATTTTTTAAAGTTTAAGGCCTGGCTCATACCTGGCAACAGAGTGAGATTTCATGTCAAAAACAAAAACCCAGATTATTTACCAAATATTACTAAATTCACATGAATCTGAAAAGTGTTTGTGTTTAATTAATTTATGAGAACAACATACAATAATACAAGTACGTGCAAAAAGATAACATCTGAACACAAACACAAGCACAAAAAGGCCCAATAGACTTCACCTCAGAACTCACCACGAGACAGCAGCACAGACTCACCAGGTTACAGGATGATGGGATCCAGATCATTTCTGACAAAATTGGAACTTGTCCACATGGGTAAGCTTTAGGTGTCACTGGCTCAGGCTGGTCTTGAACCGCTGATCTCAGGCAATCCACCTGCCTTGGCCTCCCAGAGTGCTAGGATTACAGGCATGAGTCATGTACCTGGCCTCTCTGGCTAGTTGTTAGAGACAGGGTCTCTCTTTTGCTCAGGCTGGTCTTGAACTCCTGAGTTCAAGTGATCCTCCTGCCTCAGCCTCTCAGAGTGATAGGATTACAGGCATAAGCTACTGAGCCTGGCCATGAGTTTTGACAAATGCACAATTATGTGTAGCTACCATTATAGTATATGGAATAATTTTACTATCCTAAAAATCTCGTGCTCCCTCCCCTCATCCCCCTAGTGACCATTGATCTTTTTACTGTCACCATGTTTTACCTTCTCTGGAATGTTGTATATGTGTTTGGAATCATACAGTATGTAGCCCTTTCTGATTAGCTTCTTTCATTTAGTAATATGCATTTAAGGTAATTCCATGTCTTTTAAGGGTTTGATAACTTATTTCCTTCTATCATTGAATAACATTTCATTGTAAGGATGTACCACAGTTTATCTGTGCACCTATTGAAGGACATCTTAGTTGCTTTTAAGTTTCAGCAAAGTTGCCATAAACTTGTATACAAATTTTTTTTGTACTTTTTTGGGTAAATGCCCAAATGATATTGGATCATATAGCCAAAGTATGTTGTAATCAACTGCCAAACTGTCTTCTAAACTGGCTGTACAATCCCGTCAGGAATGAGGGTTCCTATTGCTTCATGTCTTGGCCAGCATTTGATGTTGTCAGTGTTTTGAGTTTTTGCCATCTGTGTATCTTTTCTTATGAGGGTCTTACCTTTTGCCCATTTTGTAATTTGGTTGTTTTCTTACTGATGACTTTTAACTACATGTACCCTCCCCAAATCCTCCTTGTGTATTTTGGTTTGGATACTAGTCCTTTATCAAAAAAACATTTAAAAAATATTTTCTGTAGTTTGTCTTTTCATTCTTTTAATAGTGTCTTCTGCAGGGCATAAGTTGTTTGTTTGTTTTTGAGACAGTCTCATTTTGTTGCCCTCGATAGAGTGCCGTTGTGTCATAGCTCTCAGCAACCTCAAACTCTTGGCCTCAAGCAATTCTTTTGCTTCAGGCACCTGCTACAACACCTGGGTATTTTTTTTTCTGGTTCAGGCTTGTCTCAGACCTGTGAGCTCATGCAGTCCACCCGCCTTGGCCTCCCACAGTGCTAGGATTATAGGCTTGAGCCACTGTGCCCTATTAGAGTGTAAGTTTTTAAGTTTAATGAACCGAACTTAAAATGTATTCTTTCATGGATGATGCTTTTGGTGTTATATTTAAGAAGTAATCGCCAATCTCAAGGTTACCTAGAAGTTCTATATCATCTTCTAAGTGTATTATGGTTTTACATTTATATCTGTGATCTGGTTTAATTTTTGTAAAAAGTACAAACTCCTGTAATTATTTTTTTTTTTCCAGACAGAGGCTCACTTTGGCATCCTTGGTAGAGTGCCCTGGCATCATAGCTTACAGCAACCTCAAACTCTTGGGTTTAAGTGATTCTCTTGCCTCAGCCTCCCAAGTAGCTGGGATTACAGGCACCTGCCACAATGCCTGGATTTTTTTTTTTGTTACAGTTGTCATTGTTGTTTAGCTGGCCTGGGCTGGATTTGAACCTGCCAGCCTCAGTGTCTGTGGCCGGTGCCCTACCCACTGAGCTATGGGCGCTGCCAACTTGCCCAAATTTTGATTGGGATTTTGTTAAATCTATAGATCAGGTTAGCAAGAACTGACAGGTACATGGAACATCTTTCCAAATTTTGAAATCTTTGGTTTCGTTCATCAGAGTTTTGTAATTTTCTTCATGTAGATGTTTTATATACTTTGTTACATTTATACCTAAATTTTTCTGTTTCTGGTGCTAATATAAATGGTACTGTGTTTTTTATTTCAAATTCCAATTGTTCATTGGTATATAAGAAACCATTTGACTTTAGTATGTTAACCTTGCATCCTGCAGCTCTGCTGTAATAACATATTACTTTCAGTAGTTTTGTTGTTGTTGTGGATTCTTTGGGATTTTCTACACAGTCATGGCATCTGTGAACAAAGATAGTTTTATCACTTCCTTTCCAATCTGTTGTGGTTTTATTACATTAGCTAGGTCTTCCAATATAATGTTGAACTGTAGTGATGTGAGTGGATATCCTTGCTTTGTTCCTAATCTCAGCAGAAAATCATCAAGCTTCTCAGCATTAGGTATGTTAGCTGTGGGTCTTCCGTAGATGTTCCAGGTAGGTTATGGGATAGGACTCTCCTCTCGCACAGTCTCAGACCCTACGTTGTCCCGCTACCTCAACTGACCCATTCATCACACAAAAACAGAGTAATCTGTAAAATACACATTTCAGTAAGATCCTATCACTTTTCTGGTTTACATGACTTCCCACAGCATTAAAATGAAAGCAAACCCGTGACCTGGTCCCTCTGAGAAGACCTCACCCAGGGTCGCTCTAGCCACACGCCGGCCTCCTCCACCAGCCTCTGTTATCTGACCTCTGCGGCGCAGCGGGCCAGACTCGCTGTTGCCACGCGCTGCGTTAGGTCACAAGTCGGAGGTCTCTTCCTTCGCTCGCAGGGGGCATCGCTAACCACTCTCCTGACGCTTCCTGCACAGCCGCTCAGTGCGACGCGTGTTATGTTTTTCTTTCTTTCTTTCTTTCTTTTTTTTTTTTT